CTTCATTTTGCAGTTGTTGAAATGCGTCAGCTTTGTCTGGGCTCTGGTTAATCAATACATTCTTACGCCAACATCACACTGGAGTTTCCCGTTGATTCCTGTGTTGAAGAATGGTGACTTCCAGGTCAACAGCAGAGTATGATTAGAGGCCGACAGCACAAGCCTATGCAGAGCTAAACTTTGGGTAACTGCTTCAATTTTGGCTGTTTGCATAGGAAGGCAGAGAGGCGTTGCATCTGTCACGGCCAGGGAGTAGCCCAGTGAATGAGCTCCTGCTGCCACGGCAGATGTTAACGCACCCAGCAATAGTGTTGCCTGAATGGGTGTGGGGGCTGAACTGGCATCTGGGCCCTGGGTTGAAGTCTCTGCTTGGTGGCCCGTGGTTGCTGGTGACTCACTATTGTAGATTAGGAGTCTAAGCAAGGCCTGCCTTCTACCAGGTTGCTGAGAAGGAGGATAAGAGGGTCTAAATTATGGAGGCTGGGAGCCCCATGGAGCAAGGCAAGTCACGTGGGGTTTTTTCATGTGATGCTTGGGTTGGGCCAGGGTCCGTGGGGGGTTGGGCAGAGGGAATCTTTTCCTGGGAGCCCCTGGTGACAGCTATAGATGCCCTTCTGGCCACCTGAAGCCTATCTAATGTCAGCATACCATAGATCATGGCTCCTTGGCTTTAGCTGGGGGATAAAGTTGCTTTCTCTTTGGAACGAGATCTGTCTTGTAATCGGCTACTTATGCATACCTGTCTGGCCTTGTTAGTTGGTTTCTTCACTTTGTTGGATGAAGAAAAGTTGGGTGGGGATCACAGAGAAAAGAGATTCTGGTGGCAAATTGTTGTGAAGACCAGAGATAGTATAGACTGTCTCGTGGATTTTGTTTAATGTGCTGAAATACTGGATTCCCTCGCATCCCTGGATTGGGCTGAGTGGGTTTATCCTGTAAAAGGTTGTTATGTTAAGAATGTCTGGTGCCAAGAATTCCATGCCCAGATGTCGCTGAACTGTAGTGCCTGGCTGTGGACAAGAGGTCATGTTGTGCTCTGAATGGTAGCTGGAAGCATGAAGATATGGATAGCAATCAGCTATAATAATGTAAGCTGATGCCTCTATGTCCATTATGTAGTTGCAAGGTGCTGCTCAGAAAGTGAACAACACGCATTAACATGCCACTGATTGGCCTAGACTTGGTTTGATGGTGGGCTGGATGTTTTTGAAATCCTAATAAAACCCTCTGAATAGATTCCTTTCCATGAGTCTAGATAACAAAAACACCATCTATGTATCTGAAGCAGAGTTGCCAACCTCTAGGTGGGAGATAGTAACACTAAAACACTGTGTAATGAACAATAATATAATCTTAAATCAACTCCAGTTTTTTCTTCTTCCAATATATTGGTATTTATAATGCTAATTTATTATTAAACAAGCACAATAATTGCAATGTAAATTAAATACAAAACTGTCCCGGGAGCGGGACTTCACCCCCCCCACGGCCAGAAACCCCGCCGCCCAGGGAGCCGCAACACATACCCAGGCTGCAGACAGGCAGGAGACGGAGGCCAGGAGAGAGATGCCCGAGCAGGGACGACAGCGCCGGAGCCAGGAGCCGGCGCACGGGCACGCCCCCGCTGTCGGGCCACATGGAGAGACACCGGAAGAATCGGGATTAGGACCACACCCTTAGGAGAGCGTTCGGGCTTTGTACTGGGGCGTGGCCGGGCACAGGGGAGGTCCACAACGGGAGCGGGGCACGATGGGAGAGGGAGACTGGGGAATAAAAGGGGGCAGACGGAGGCGGCCGGGGATGACGCCTGGATGCGAGAAGCCACAGAGAGAGAGAGAGGGGAGCATCCAGCAGAGAGCGGTGAGGGAAAGGTGACGCAACCTTCCCCACGCTCCAGATGTCTGAGGCCTTAATCCTCCCGAGGGGCAGGAACTGCTAGGACGAAACAAGGTGGCTGAAGCGGGAGAGTTAGGGAGCTCGAGCGAGGAGGATAGCGAGGGGTCATCCTCGAGCTCCTGTGACAAAAACATTTTTTTTAATTTCAAAAATACAATGTTTGCCCCATAGGGTTATAAGTTGACATGAAAGTCTAGACGAAAATAGTAAGGCCAGAGCCAGTGTGACTTGTTTCTGCTGCCTTCCTCATGTCTTACAGAATACAAGAAATATATAATTCTAAATACCTGAAAAGTATCTTATCGGTATTTAGGGGGTATTTATTCAGTCAAATGTAGATTAGACAATCAGATTTGGCTACTGATATAGCTGGCCCAAATAAAAGCCAATATTATTCGGTTTTTATTTGGGCCAGCTACATTGCTGAGTCGTGGCGGCGCAGCTTGGAGAAGCCATTCCCTTCAGTCATGGAGTCATGTTGCTGAGGTGGCACAACTCCACAAGTGGAGGGAGAAGGCATTAAACCTCCTTTCATTCATGGACACATGATTTTTTTTACTGATTTTTTTTTGTGCACACCCCCTAATTCCAAATAAATGCAGGTTTCACAATTATTTACTTGAATCCCAATATCATATCAATATTGGGATTTAGGAATATCAGGAAATACCAATATCAGGAAATACCAACACCTGAGGCTGCCCTGACCAGGGAGGGGCAGCCAGGGAGGAAGAGCCAGACTACTTGTTCAGTGCTAGAGAAAGGGGACCCAAGGTGAGGCGTTAACAACAGTGCAAAAGAGAATACAGACATGACTATAATCCCATTTTCAGGGACATCGTGTTCACTCAAAAAGATGCCTCACCGATAACAGGGCCCAGTGCCACAGGAGCCTCCGCCTGAGACCCCGGAAAGCTGCTGCCAGTCTGAGTAAACAACACTGGCGTTGAAGGGCTGATGGGTCTGATTCCCTATAAAGCACTTCCGCGTGTTCATGTGAGCCGGATGCTCTCTGCCTGGTGCCCACTCACTTCAGACACCTGGCTGGCTGGCTGGCTGGCTTCTTGTTGGTTTGAGGCAGCCGGCCATGTTATAGGAGCTGGTGGCTCTTGCTTGCCACCTTTGAGCATCAGGTGCTTTTCCCTGTGGATTTTCCGTTAATCTTATTCTACTGTGGGTTTGGGAAAGTGTGTGTCCTCCTCACGGGTCCATGTGTATGGGACCCAACCTCTCAACTTTTGCCTAAGCAAAAGTAGGAAAACCTTTCTTCGGCCACCTCTCACTCCTTGGAGCGGCTGTCTTAGGTTTGACACCCATCGTAAAAGAAGGCACCCAATCCAGGCAATGGCCAACACAAGTGCCAGTTAAAGAATATCTGACAAACTGATGAGGTTCCTTACACAAGTCTAGAAGAAGTACTGAGACCCTGAGTATGGTGAAATCAGAGATAGCTTTACTAAAGGGAATAATTATCACACTCAAGAACTCATAATAATATCAGGCAAACAACGCTGTTAATTACTAGAGTGCCTATGATAAGCTGCAAGTAGCCCAAACTCTCACGCCCAGGGTACAACCTGTATCACTAAAGGAGGGGAAAGCAGGAGGCCAACAAGGCAGGACAAGAGGGAGAATCGGGGCCTCCTGGCTGAGTGTTCCAGCAGAGAAACCAGGGCTCAGGCAAGGGGTCCCAAGCATCTGGCCTGTCAGTGACTCAGAAGGTGAATTCAAAGATGCAGAGGCATATCATGCCTGCTTGCCAGGAATAGGGATTCTGCTAATTTTGCAGCAAACATGTCCAACAGCCAAATGTCCTGTTTTCAATGACTATGATCAGATGGGCACTGATCCCCAGATCTGCTTGCCTTAGCTGAAAAGCTGCAACAGCCACTCAAGAGGTTTGCAATTTTCCTATTGTTAATTTTGCGACATTTTCCTGGGTGGTAGGTCAGAAACTGACTCCCAGATTTATTGTGCCTTGAGATTTGTGGACCCTCTTCATGAACACATAATTGTATCCTGAATTGGTAGATTATATTATACACACAGATGGGCACAGAGAGAAAATCGTAAACAGCGAAGTCATAAGAGCTACAGCCATCTCTGTAAAACTAAAATACTGTGACAACTCACAATATCACAATATCTTTAATTGGTGACCATATAATATCAATTTTTCTAAGTTCATTTAAAGCCTACGGTGGTTGAGAAGCTCCTTTGCTGAAGGATGGTGTTAGAGGGTGAGCAGGGAAACGGGCCCCTGAGGGTAAAGCTTACTAGCGCACACATTATTGTTGCCTGGCTTGGGATAGGAACAGAGTTAGCATCTGGGGCTTTTCCACATTCTCATTTTAGGCCCAATCTGCATTTGCTATGTGAAGCTGTTCCGTGCTGCTGTGGTGCCGGCTTCCCATTTGGATCAGTATAAAGCTCTCCTCTGTCTGCATCGGGACGCAAGTTGTTTAGGGAGAGCGCGAGAGAGAGTGGGGAGGAGCGGCCTCCCGGGGGTGCCGGAAGGGCGCTGCGCTGCACTGCGCTACGCTGCACTGTGGGGAGGAAACGGCACCTGCGACCCCCCCCCCGAAAGTAAAAGGGGGTGACCTGGCAGAGGGGGAGGCAGGAAAGATGGAATGAGCTGGGTAAAAAAAACACAAAACACCCAGCAGTTGCCAGGCAGGGTGTTCTGGAGTTCTGCCGCCCAGGAAATAACAAATGGTTCAGGGGTGGGTGTGCTTCCAACCCCCCCCCCCCCCATATGATTGCAAAAAAAAATTCCCTGGCTGCTTTCAGGGGTGGGTGTGCTTCCCACCCCCCCCCCCCCACATATGATTGCAAAAAAAAGTTCCCTGGCTGCTTTTAAATGCAGACAACTGGATTTTCAGCTAACTTGTTTCCCTTTTTGACGATTTGTGTATCTCCTTAGAAAAGATGGGGGGGGGAGCATTCAGCTCCAGTTGTCTGCTTTTTGCTCACAGCGCCTCGACCAGGCTGGCTCACCCACTAGGCGAACTAGGCATTCGCCTAGAGCGCGCTGGCCCTTAGGGGTGCCAAACAGGACCCGCCCCCCCGCCAAAAGCCCATGCAGCCACCGGAGCCGGCTGGCCATGCCCGGGCCCGGGCGTGAGGAGGAGCCGCGCCAAGAGCACCTGGCTGGCTTCCCACACGTCTTTGTGTTGCGCCAAGGCAGCTGCCGCTCCCTGCCTCCCCCGCGGCTCCCCGCCTTCCTCCCGCAGGCTCGCCCAGAGACAGGCAGCCCGCCGGGTGGGGTGGTCTCATGCATGTTGCAGCAGCCGGGGGGGGTGTACGTGCAGCTGCTGGGTGAAGATCCCCTTCCCGTGTCCGGTGCTAGCGATCGACTTGGGAAAATCCGTTTCTCGCTCGGCGTAGCGGAGGGTGAAACCAGGGCTCAAGGGGGAGGAGCCAAGCAGACCATGCGGCTCTCACCTGCCACAAACAACTTCGAAGGAAGCAAACTTCGGCAAGGGGGCACTTTGCGTGCATTCAGGAGTTTTTCCCCTTCTGGTAAAGGGACTGTGTGGTGCGAGGTGGCCGTATTTTACCAGCCCCTCTTGATCTGCCTTCTTAAGAGCAGGACCTCTCTGGCTTCGTAGTGACCTCGGAGTTGCCACTACACGGCAATAAAATGATGCAGACAGCCAATGCTGAGTCAATACAATAGGAAGGCAACAGAGGCATGAAATGTAGACAGGAATTTGTGAGACGATGTGAAATTGAAGGCAAAGTGGCAGGAAAGACCAATGCAGATTGGACCACTCTTAAGTTCCCATTTCTTTGTCCCCCCCATCTCATTCCACATGTGTTTCCCCCCCTCTAGTGGTCAATTTGATATCAAATAGCTTTATTTCCAGGATATCTCCCTGTAGATAAGCTGGAAATAAAGCTGTTTGATGTCCCATTAACCATTACAGGGTGTAGAATGGGGGGCTCCCCCAAAGAAACAGCAGCCTAACAGTGAGTAAGATAAGAATTCAGAAAAAGCCCTAAGTTTGGTGCAGGGCCTGGTTCCTGTTGGGTTTTGTTATTCAGTTGCACAGTCGAGTCCAACTCTTGGTGACCCCATGGACCACATCCCGCCAGGCCCTCCTGCCTCCTGTCATGCTCCGGAGTTTGCTTAATTTCATGTTCCTTGCATCGACAACACTATCTAACCTTCTCATCCTTTTCTGTCCCCTTCTTCTTTGATCATGGTCTTCTCCAGCACCATAGTTCAAAAGAATCTATTCTTTGGCGCTCGGCTTGCTTGCTAGCTGAATCACCTCATGGGAAAATACATCTACTAGGCTTGCTGGCTAAGCTGAATCATCATAGTGAGCTTTACCTGACGGATCATCACTTGGGAAATGTTTTTGAAGTGAGGCCTCCAGAATTGCACACAATATTCCAGGTGTGCCCTGACCAATGCAGTGTATAGCGGGACTTAGTCATCTTGTTATGCCTCTGTTGATACACCCCAAGATTGCATTAGCCTTTTTTGTTGCCACATCACACTGTTTATATTTAACATTTGATCCACCCTTAGCCCAAGATCTTGTTCACACACACTGCTACTCAGAAGTGTATCCCCCATCCATTATGCGTGTTCCTCATTTTTGTTACCCAGATGTAGAACTTGGCACTTATCCTTGTTAAATTGCATCTTGTTCACATCCACCCACTTTTCCAGTGTGTTCAGTTCTTGTTGAATTCTGTCTCTGTCTTGTGGTGTGTTTGCTGCTGCTCCCAATTTAGTGTCATCTGCAAATTTAATGAGTAGCCCGCCCACACCCTCATCCAGATCATTTATAAAAATATTGAAAAGTACCGGGCCCAGAACCGAGCCCTGTCCAGGCACCCCACTGGACACCTCCCTCCATGCAGATGAAATGCCATCGACAACTACTCTCTGAGTGTGGTTCTCCAACCAGTTCCCTGTCCACTTAACTATCCTAGAGTCCAGCCCACAGTCCTTCAGTTTACCCACCAGTACATCATGGGGAACCCTGTCAGAAGCTTTTTAGGGGGTTCCTGTAAGCAAGGAAGGCCTACTATCCAATGCCTGTGTGAGAGAAATATTTTTTGTTATCCAGGATGAGCTGTAGATAATTGATGATATGCTGAAGACTTTTTAGCTGGGAGCTGGAGGAGACAAGGGATAGTCTGTTGCTTTGTCTCTTGGGTTTGTCCTACAGTCGGTGACTCCCTGGGTACCAATCTGCAGGGTTCATTTCCTGCAGGAGCGCACAGGAGCGGAGCTCCGGCAGTAAAGAGCCCAGGGGGTGGGCACATGCAACAAGTCCCACCCCCTGCTTCCAGCAGCCCTCAGTCAGAGCAAGAAGCAGCCAGGTAAGTTGCAGAGCTCCCCCCCCCCAGCTCCATGGTCCAAAACAGACCAGTGGCACATTTAAGACCAAGTTTTATTCAGGTACAAGCTCACCCTCCTCTACAAGGACAGATCTGCGTGTGTGTGTGTCCCCCCCAATAGCTAGCAATCCAAAACAGTCCAGTGGAGCCTGAGCGGTGGGTGTTGCCTTCTGACACACTTCCGGTGATGTCAGGGGGTGTGGCATATGCAAATAAGTTATGCTAATGAGTTATGCTAATGAGCTCCTGCGCCTCTTTTTCTACGAAATGACCCCTGCCAATCTGGCCTTGTCAATCGGTTTCTTTACTTCATTTATAGGGTTGCCAGATATGGACTGGCAACTGGCAAGAGTCCAGCCTGGAGTCAGGATATGGTGAGCACTGTTGGCAATGGCATGATACCAGTTCCAGGGAAAACCTGGAACTGTTATCACACTTCTCCAGGAATCATTAGAAACTCTATGGTAAACCCAAAGGTTTTAAAAGATAACTGTCAGGCTATCAGTAGTCTCCAGAAATCACTGGAAACTCTCTGGTAAACCCATAGTTTCCCGTGATTCCTGGAGAACACTGATAGCCTGACAATGATTTTTGAAAATATCCTCAGACCGCCACTCCAAGCAGCAGTGGGGTTGCTGGTGAGCATTCTTTGGTCATAGTGGGAGACCACCTAGCAACCCTGCTTTATTGAGTGTATGATGCAACAGGTATGAATTGCTCTTACAGTAATTGGACACACATCAGAAGGAAGTCTGTCCCATTAAAATGTACTTGTGCATCTATGGCTGAGCAACTAGATTAGAAGCTACAGTGCTAGCCTGCATTTTCAAGCAGTATACACATTCATGAATCAATTTTATCGCAAAATGCCATAAATGAGCCATTTCAACTGGCAGTCTTCCCAAGAGCAAGTTTTCTTGTGAATATGCACTCAAATTTACAAGAACCAGTACACTAGTCTGTTGCTTGTCTATATCTCTTGTATACCTTCTTTTACTGAAGTACATGCACTCAAAAAACATAAGGAGAAAATCAAACTTAAACAAAATGGAGCTGGATTACCCATCATGGAACAAGAATGTAACTCTATGACATTATGTAGACAACCAGCCGGTGTGAGATTATATTATCTACTCCAGGGGTTTCAAGCATATGGCCTGTGGGCCGGCCATGGCCCCTGCAGGGCTCAGATCTCACCCACAAGCAAGTTCCTTCTCTTGCTTCCTTTTCCAGGCTGCTGTGGCTGCACTGTAGCTTGCTTTCCCCCCAGCTCCCTCAGTGGCTCTGCTTGCTGTTTCCTGCCTCTTGCTTTCTTTCCCACCCCCAGTCTCTCTCTATGTCTCTCTCTCATATACATACACACCTCCCTCAGCAGCTGTTTCCTGTTTTGTGCAGGAGAGATAAAAAGACAAGCCCCCCCCCCTCCCAGCTTCTGCTTTCTTCTCCGGAGCTGCTTCTCTTCTTTTGGGGAGGAAGGGAGGGGGAGGAGAGAGAGAACAAAGTTGGAATCCCATGATAGCTTTAAGACCAACGACGTTTAATTCCAGGTATAAGCTTTTGTGTGCAATCACACTTCTTCAGAGGGAGGGAGGGGGGGTGGATGGATGGATGGATTCTTCAGACAAGCACAATTTACATTGATGAAATTATTTTGGCTTATTCTGATTTTTTTTTAAAAGTTTGGATTTCTCTGATCCTATCTGGATTTTATTTTTTTTTCAAAAAGACCCTGATTAGGAATTAGAACATTTGGATCGGTCCAGAGTTGGGGTAGAGATTTTGAGGATGCCATCATCATGGACTCTGTTTGGGTTTTTAGTTTTATTAAATTATCTGTAGAATTTTAATGTGTTATATGTTTTTATGGCATTATGCCCCCATGTACATCTCCCAGAGCCCAGTAAGCTGGGATAGGGCAATTAACTAACAACAACAACAATCATCATCATCATCATCTTGGAGAGTGGAGTGATTTCAGATGCCAAATAATAATAGCGCACATTGGTAATGAGACAGGAAAACTAGGTCTCAGTTCAGTCCGGGAGTTTGCATTGTCTTGACCTTCATTATCAGTTGCAATTCAGTAGCCTCTCTTTCTAATCTCCCTTTGAAATTCCTTTGTAAAAGCACTGCTACTCTTAGGTCAGCAACTGAATGTTGGGGTTTCTAATGTCCATTTATTCTTTGCATCCTCCTGGACTGAATTCTCCTGGAAGGAGTTGAGACCTAGATTTCCTGTCTCATTACCAGTGCTGGTATCTCCACACCTACTATCCCTCTGCATATCACACCTAATCCAGTCGAGCCTGCTATTGTCATTCACCCTACTATTACCATTCAGCATCTGATTACCATCCAGCATCTGAAATCACTTCTATAAAGTTTATATCTCAGGTACCTTGTGCTACATTTTATGGCACACATGGCCTGGCCCAACAATATGACATTTATCTCAGATCTGGCCCTTGTAACAAATGAGTTTAACACCTCTTGTCTACTCTGCCTTGTACTATACCAGTTGATGACTGATAACAAAAGGATTCATTAGAAGAATCTTTCCATCAACACACACAATTATCATTCCTCCTCACAGTAAGGTGGCCAGGCCCTGATATGATCATGACAGCAGGAAAACCAAGCCTACTACAGAGTAGGTAGTAGTTTCAACCTTCTTAGGGCACTACCCAGATACGTAGAAAAATATGACTATTTTAAAGAAGGAAACAAGCCCCCCCCCCCCAATTTTTTTAAAAAATCTCCAAGCCTTTTTGTAGGACCAGGACTTTGGAAACAGTGAAAAGCTTTGGCAGTGATGAAAGGTTATGTGCGTGTCAATGTATACACACATGGAACTGGCAACTGGGAAGCAGTTTAAGATAGATGAAAGTGACAGCTTGAAAACATGTGGCCAGCTGCTTAGAACTGGCGAAGGGTTGCCATCTTTGGCCTGGGAAATTCCTGGAGATTTCAGGGCAGTGCCTGTTAAGGGGGGAGTTTGAGGAGGCATTTTACCTAGGATCTATGGAATGCCACAGCGTCTGTGCTCTGAAGCTGCCAAGGGAACTGATCCCTGAAGTTTGGAGATCAACTGTAATTCTGGGAGAACTCCAGGCACCACCACCCCCCCCGGAGGCAGGCATCTCTAGCTCTGCAAGAGGAAAGGAGCATTCCAGTCACAGCTTCTGGACAATTGGGGTAATTGGGGGGGGGGGGAGAGGGGGAACATATAGCTGTAAAGTGACCTAATTTAGGCAGTAGTTTATAATAGTCTATAAAACACGCAGGAGTCTACGAGAATAAAAATCACAAAAACAGAGGAAAAAAGAAGAGAGAGCCAAACTGTTTAAAAAGTCATTAATAACAATCCAAAGAGGTGCGGCATAAAGGTGCATGAGGAAAACAAAATGGAAATGGTGGAAAGGATAGTTTTCAAAATAGACTGAAGAAAAAAAGCTATAATAGTCCTCTAGACAGTAACATGGTTAAAGATTCAGGCATATCCTTTTGTAAGGGTGTGTATGTGTTTATTACATTAGGAGTTTCCCTCTAAGGATTGTGTACAATCCTTTGGTACAGAGCTTCCCCTTGTGGACATTTGATGCCAGTCAATGTATACAAACCTAAATCAGATATGTGGCCCGCTTCTAATAGTCTCGGTTCATCCGTGTAATATTAATTTGATTGTTTGTTTAGATTATTAGCCTGCTGCTGCTTCAAGTTGTTGTTGTTGTTGTTGTTCAGTCGCACAGTTGAGTCCGACTCTTCGCAACCCCATGGACCACATCACGCCAGGCCCTCCTGTCTTCCGTCGTGCTCTGGAATTTGCTTAATTTCATGTTCGTTGCATCGATGAAACTGTCTAACCATCTCATCCTTTGTCATCCCCTTCTTCTTTGACCTTCAGTCTTTCCCAGCCTCAGAACCTTCTCCAGTGAGTGCTCCTCATTTGGTGGCCAAAGTATTTGAGCCTCAGCTTCATTATCTGGCCTTCCAGGAAACAGTCAGAGTTTATTTCTTTTAGGATTGACTGATTAGATCTTCTTGCAGTCCAGGGGACTCTCAAGAGTCTTCTCCTGCACCATAATTCAAAAGAATCTATTCTCTGGTGCTCGGCCTTCCTTATGGTCCAGCTCTCGCACCCAGACATTACTACTGGGAATACCATTGCTTTGACCATACGGACTTTTGTTGGCAGGGTGATGTCTCTACTTTTTATTATGCTATCTAGGTTTGCCATAGCTTTCCTCCCAAGGAGCAGGCATCTTTTAATTTCATAGCTAGCATGCCCAAATGAACTACAATAAAACCAGTAAATATTAAAACTCTTTAGAAGGACCTGATGTAAACCATGTCTATTTTACAAATGTAATAGTTTCAACCATTTTGACTACCCTTGTATCATTTGCCAGGGATTTTGGGACTAAGGTGGTGAGAGTTTTCAAGTAAGCAGCCCTGGTTCACTTGCAGAACTACAGTGCCCCCGCGGGGTTCCCTGAGGAGAAGCCACTGTCTGTTAGCCCTTGCAGGTGCCCTGCTTTCAGTGGAAATTGTCAGCAGGGAAATGCTTAAAGAACAACACATCCACTAGCTTGCTGTGCATCCCCTATATCCACGTATTACTTGGGTGGGTGGGTGGGTGGGATGGATGGATGGATGGATGGATTACAATCCAGGCTAGAGAAGGTTTCTCGGGGTTTACAGCCTGAGATGTGCCATGTGAGCTGCCTGTGTTTGTGATCTGGTAGCTGTGAACATGGGCATCAGCTCTAATTCTGGAGGTGGGAAAAGCCCTTGCAGTGGGTGTCTAACTTGTTACATTTCTTTCTTCCAGATATGAAGAGGCAGACAGCTGAAAGCATCTTCAGAGACTGTAAGTTTAGAGGTTTCATGATTGAGAGTAGAACAAAGTCCAGGGGCAACTTTAAGTTCTGGGGATAGGCTTCCGTGTGCAAGCGCACTGCTAGTCATCAGGGTGACCGTGGACTCAAACTTTGTTCGGTTGCTTCAGACCAACACGGCCACCCACCTGAGTCCATGTTTGAGTAAAGGTAAAGGTAAAGGTCTCCCTTGCTCGAAAGCCAGTCGAATCCGACTCTAGGGTTGCGGTGCTCATCTCCGTTTCAAAGCCGAAGAGCCAGCACTGTCCGAAGACGTTTCCAAGGTCATGTGGCCGGCATGACTAAACACTGAGGCGCACGGAACGCTGTTCCCTTCCCACCAACGTGGTGCCTATTTATCTACTTGCAATGTTTTGCTTTCGAACTGCTAGGTTGGCAGGAGCTGTCTTGCAGCACACTCGAGTCTCGAACTGCTGAACTACCAACCTTCCACAGCCTGCAGTTCTGCGTCTTAACCACTTGAGCCACCACATGTTTGAGAGTGTTGGCTATTTTCATGAATCTCCTTAAAGAACTTTCCAGGCTTCTCACAATGATCAGGTCTTACTGGTCAATACATGTGAGTGTAAGTGAGCTTCCTGGGAGCCCGCAATGCTTGAGTTTCCTCATAATTCTAATGTGAACATGGAAAACTGGACAGTAGGTGCCAGCATCCATCTGCATGAATCATTTCTTCACGGGATAAGGTTATAACTCATCATGGCTTTATTTATTTACTTCATTTATAACCCGTGTTTCTCCCCAGTGGGGACCCAAAGCAGCTTACATTGTTCTTCTCTCCTCTGCTTTATCCTCACAACAACCCTGTGAGGTAGGTGAGGCTGAGAGAGTGTGACTGGCCCAAGGTCACCCAGCCAGCTTCCGTGGCACAGGTGGGGATTCGGACCTGGGCCTTCAGGATCCTTCTTCGACCCTTGAACCCCTACATCACTCTGGCTTGGACCTGATGAGATTCTCTTGATGGTTTTTGACTAGGAGGAACTGTTGCTAAGCTAGCAGAGTCAAGCTAGAAGGGGAAGAGAAAATTTAGTGCTAGCCATACTCAGGCAGATGGGAAACTGCTGAACTCCCAGGTTTTGTTACTGTGCTGGGAGCTGGATGAAGGGCTCGTGTCAAAACTCCCTCTGGCTTTATAGCGAAGGGCAAAGTGTGCATAGCCCTTCTGTTTCTAAATGATCCAAGGCTATATTTCCTGTGCATTCCTGGAGATGTTAAGAGGCATGTTTAATACACCTCGACCTCCTTTTCTCCCTGGATGCAAACAGTCTGCGGGCTGCGACACAACCGATCGGCAACGTCGATGGCAAGAGTAGCGGGCGGCGTCAACAGTCTGGAGCCGGGGGGGTGGCCGTGGCAGGCAAGTCTGCAGCGGAATAACATCCACCGTTGCGGCGCCACCTTGATCAGCAACACGTGGCTGGTCTCTGCAGCACACTGCTTCAAAGAGTAAGTTCCCAAATGGGTCCTCTGTGATAAGTGCTGGCCAGCTTGCCGAGCACTGGCTGAAGTATGACGTTCACCATGTGAGACTCTCTGGTGCCATCCCTTGGAAAACGTGGAAGAGGCCTCTGTGCAACAAATGTTCTGAGTGCTCTGCAGAAATCAGCATTTAGACCCAGATTACGTATAAATTCCAGGGACGTGATTGTTTTCTGATTCCTTCTCTTGCCAAAGGCAGTCACAGAAGCTAGTTTTGAGTAGCGGACCTATTCCCGCCTGGTTCTTGTGTCTTTTGCCCACCAGTGGAAATGCACCCTGTTTCTGTGTTGCTGATCCTCATGAAGACGGCAGCTTACGTTGCCAACATAAATTCATTTTCTTTGTTTATATCCCACCGTTCTCACCAATGGTACCCAAAACGGCTTACATGACGCTTCTCCATTTTATCTGCACAACAACCCTGTGAAGTGGGTGAGGCTGGCCCAAAGTCACCCACCCAGCTTCTGTGGCAGAAAGGGGATTCGAACCTGGCTCTGTCAGATCCTAGTCCAACATTCTAACTGCTACACCCTATTGGCTGTCAGAAAATAGGAAGTACCCCTGGTTTCCAAAGCAATCGTTGCCTTGTAACATCAGAAAGGGGACCATACAAACTATTGCAGGAGATAATCAGTGGGATGGAGGGCTTGTCACCTGTTGGGTCTCTGTTGCAAATAACATCCGTCCATGTCTTCTCCCCACACACACACGCACACACATGTGGGTTCTAGCGCCCGGAGGGAGGAGAAATGTTGTGGCTGCACCCAACATGCTGTGTCAGAATAGTAAATTCCAGGAATCTCAGAAGTTTAGGGACCCCTGAGGTGTAAGTTGCACAGATGCGAGGAATGGATACGTCCTTGATCGCATAAGGAATTATGTAGCTCATCGGGAGCTTCTCTCAAGATTAGTCAGTAATATGTTAATTGTGAGCAATTTCAATATTTTAATAATTTGCCATGTGTTGTTATTATTTGTATTGTTTATTTAATTGTCATGCCTCCTTTCTGTTTCACAAGCAGCACTTGTGGCAGCTAAAATGGAGGAAACAATAGTCGTCACGCGGCAGGATGAGAGCTGAAGATGCCATACAACTAACAGCATTCGCACTCAAACCACAAGCCGACAACAACCTCACTCAAGTGCTTTCTTTTTCAGGGCAAGGGAGCCACAAAAATGGACTGTCAGCTTTGGAACCTATTTAAACCCTCCTTTGATGGTACGGTTCGTGAAGAGCATTATTGTTCATGAGAAGTACCGTTATCCAGCCTATGAACACGACATTGCTGTTGTGAAGCTGGCTCAACGGGTGGAGTTCACAAGGGCCGTTCACCACGTTTGCCTTCCCGATGCAACGGAGGTGTTCCCATATAAGATCGATGCTGTTGTGACAGGATGGGGAGCACTTAGTAATGACGGTAAGCCATTGTATTTAGAAGATGACAGTACTTTATATATTTTATCAGTGATGAGACCAATAGAGCCCTGATGGTTCTATCAGACTAGCTGGATCTAGTCAAACCCCCAAAGCTAAGCAGAGTCAGCCCTGGTTAGTATTTCGAGGGGAGATGACCAATGGCAAACCAGCTCTGCTTGTCTCTGGCCTTGAAAACTCCACGAGGGGTCGCCATTCACTGGCTTGTGACTTGACGGCACCTTCCGCTGCCATTACAAGACTGACAGAAAAGAGCAGATTCTTTTTTGCACAAAAACGTTTCAGAGGTCTACGTTGAAAATTTATATAACTAAGTTGTATGCAAACACTTCTGTCTTATCTGTTCTTGGCCCCTTCAAGCACCTGCATAGTTTATTCTTTCATTAGCATACGCCTGGTAGAAAGTTTTCCATATTAGGGGACGGATCCAGATACTGCTGAGGCTTGTGAGAGAAGTGAATGCGGTTCTTCTTTCCCCAGCATCGTCTTGCATCCACTTTGGTTAGAAGAAAAGAGGCTCCTGCTTTGTGCCACTTTGTGATTCCTCTGATCTCCTGAGACCAACCCAAGCAGGGGCTGTTGGGAAAATCTGGGTTGAATCCTGTTTTAGTGACAAGTGGGATTTCCTATGAAAACAGATCTTAACATTTTAGGATCATTGTGACACGTTATCAGATATAGCTACATCTCCCTTATATATAAGAGCAAATGGTGGTGGCACTTCTCTAGAACATTCCATACGCTCCGGAATTGGTTGGCGCCCTGGTGTGTCACTCAGAATCTGTCCCTATCCACTGGCTGCATTAATTGAGTCTCGCCTCCAACATTGTAAACAGTTTGCTGTTCCTCTCCTCCCCCACATAGCCAGTCAGAACACAGAGGTTATTTGCATTTGCAGCCTCATTGACCTTTGCCTCGGAACACAGAGGTTGTTTGCATATGCGACTTGATTGGCTTTTTCCTCTAACATTCTAAACAGTTTGCTGTTCTGAGGTAAAATGTCAGGTCTCACGAAATCAACGGAGTCACGCTTATAGAAAAGGATAACTTTATTGAGGCCATGAGTCACTGAACAGATTCTCTGTTCAAAATAATGTTAATTCACAGAGCTGGAAAGCATAAAGCAAATTCATAATGGTGACAGCCAATGATTATAATTCCCGCTCGAGCCAAAGAGCAGTTTTACGCGCCTAATTCCCTGATAAAGCAACAGCTAGGTTGTTATCATTGCAAAGCAGTTCTCACAGTTTCCCCTCATTAAAAAAGCACAGAGTACTCCGTTCTAACACCTGTGACCTTGAAGCAGATAACGGTACAGTAAATAGCGAGGCATCTTCTTGCAAGCAAGCAGCGTCAAGGCATGCGCATGAGGATAGAAGCAGACCGCTGAAGACGATGAGTGAAACGGGGGGGGGGACATACAGCAAGTACATCATGAAATAAAACATACACAGAGTGTGATCAGGAACATACAATACCATTTGGCAGCTTGCTGACAAATGTGTCCAATCTCCAGGTGGGGGCTGGAGATCACTCAGAATTACAACTGCTTTCCAGATGGCAGAGATCAGTTCCCCTGGAAAAAATGGTGGGCTCTGTATCCTTATATGCTGCTGAGGTGGCCCCCATATGACAGCCAATGTGACGTGACAGTCAAGGCTTCAGAGCACAGGAGAGGCTGCAGGTGTGTGGGGGGTGGAAAGCTGAAGAGTGAGGGGGAAATAAAGGTAGTATGTTGATTGGCGGGGAAGGAGATAGGGTTGCCAACTCCAGGTGGGAAATTCCTGGAGATGTGAGGGATGGAGCCTGGAAAGAATCAGGAGGCGTGGGACCGCGGACAAGTACAAAGCCATAGACTCCATCCTCCAAACCAACCGTTCCCTTCTGGGGAACCATCATTGCCAATCTCCAGGTGAGGGCTGGAGATCACTCAAAATTACAACTGTTCATTAGGTAGCAGAGATCAGTTCCTCTGGAGAAAATGGTGGACTCAGTGTCATCATACCCTGCTGATGTTGCCACAGCAAATTGACACTGAGTGTCCAAGGCTGGGGCACCCGCCCAGAGCCTCTTTCTAGAGACCATTTATTTCCACAACGGGCCTTTTTCCTAGTTAGTAATAAAGCAATTTAAAATGAATCAGATAAATATCTATTTCCCATGTTGTTGTTCAGTCGCACAGTTGAGTCCAAGTCTTCGCGACCCCATGTCCCAATTTCTTTCTAAATATTCTTTAAAATCTTTCCACTCTTCAAAAAAGTCTTTATCTTCTTTATTGTTCAACTTTTTCGTTATTTTATCCATTTCTGCCATATGTAAAACTTTTTGTATCCATTCCCATTTATCCGGTATTTTCTCCTGTTTCCAACATTGAGCATAAATCATTCTTGCCGTAGTAATTAAATACCATAGCAGCGTCTTTTTTTCTACATTAACTTCCTCCATCTTAAGACCTAGAAGTAGTATCTCTGGTTCTTTCTTAAAATTACATTTC